GTTGTAATGGAAATCACATGGACATGGACAATGACTAGATACCTGGTAAGTGTGCAGTAAGTGTTAGCTATTATGTAGTATTAAAAGCTATTGAAGATGGATCATATGATAATGTTCCATGTTACAAATGTACTGTTTTAATTTAGGAGGCTTCAAGTCTTACAGGGGGAGGGACTATTTGGATGATCTATCATCTATCTGAATGTCTCTTGCTCCCATTTTTCTTTGTACTCTGTCCACTCAATTTGGTATAGTTAACAGCAACCACCTTGCTCATAAAGCCAAAAGAGTCTGTAATAAGCTCTGCTATACCAATTTCATGAGTATTCAGTGCCTCAGCCCAGAATACCAATCGTGTAAAAAGTGCAGTGAATTCCAATTCACTTCTGATTGCAATGATCTGAACCAAACACGAAACCTAGTTGATCCAAGATGATTTGGGCTTTACAATTTTGTGCATTACGTGATCCGCACACACAAGGCAGGAGTATCTTTGAATTGAACATGTTTTCTTTTCAGAAAACAGAATTCTTTTAATTAAAAACATTTTTAAAAAGTTCAGTATGTGTAATTGTTAACACCTGCTATGTGTTACCAACAGATGTTTCTTACTTACCTAAGGGAGCTGTTATAATTATTCTATGAGCTTATTGGAATGGCATTTACCAAGATAGTTGGCAAAGTTTAGATGGTGAATTTTTATGTAATTTTTGGCATTTCTTGAAATCCCTTTCCCTGTCACTCTTAGTCCCCACCAATACATCCCAAACCACCCACCAAAGGCAATAATGTCCCTTTGGGGTACCAACCTGTTTTCAAAATTGGCAGTGATCACGCGTAGTTTAGTCTTTATAAAAAGTTATGCAACTTCAATCATGCATACACTGAAATATGGTCAAATTTACTTCTAAGTGACTTAGCAGTTATTCTGCACAGGCCCTCCTCACTTAATAACTGAGTTATGATCCGATGACTGGGCCATTTGGTTGATAAATGAGAAACTTAAAGGTGGAAGTCTTCTGGTGTCTCTCCTGGTGACAAAGGGTATGTCTTTTTCTTTCTTTCTTTCTCTTTCATTCCTTCTTTCTGTGTGCTCACCAGAGACAGAGAGAGAGGAAAAGTGAGAAATCACCCCACCCCCAAGGGGAATGGCCACACCACAATCCCCTCTCCTTCATTCTCCTGTTGGGATTTTGGGCATGCACATGCGCTGGGCATGATTTTCAAGGCCCTAGGTCTGGGACCTGACCCACAATCGGCCATGTGGGAGTCCAGTGCCTTAGCTATTACGCCACCTGCTGGTCTCAGGTATGTATGTTTCAATAGATGTCCCGTTAGGCCACACTAGAATAATGTAATTCTATCCATACAAAAAGGATACATTAGGTAAGTGCCAGAAGGCAACAAGACACACAATACAGTAATATAAATCTGGCATAACCGTTCTTTATTTATTCTAAATACTACTGTGGGTGCACGATAAAGTACAAATTTATAAATGAAAGATGTAGCTTTGCCTGATTGACAGTGAATACTGATTGACACTGGAACAAGACAAAGGTTGAGAAAAGGGATTTCCAAGATTCATACAGATTGAAAACGGGGTTCCCTGTGCTGGAGAACTCTTCATTAAGTCCAAGCAGATGATAAATAGGTAGGTCTTAAGTGAGGAGTGACTGTGGTTTGCACCATCAAGTCTCACATCTTAATTATAAAATTAAAACTATTTCTTTTAGAGGAACCAGCAGGTGGCATGGTGGTTAAGGTGCTGAACTCCCACACAGCCGACCACAGTTCGAGTCCTAGACCTAGCAGCTTGCTCGCTTGCTTCCTCTCTCTCTGGTGAGCAAACATGCCCTGTAGCAAAATAAAAAAGTAACAATAATAATGATAAATACAATTAAATAAGAATTTTTTTAAAAACTACACTTTTTAGAAAGATAATATCCTTATAGTATTGTAACTTAGCTTACTGTATTACTATAGTTAAAGTGAGAATTTTCCTTATTTTTGACAATTGATAAGGTCTGATAAGCAGTAGACCTTCTGAATTCTTCATTTATGATACTAATCACACAATTACCTACAGGCATGTGTTAAATATGACCCAGATTTCTGCCAAATAATGGGTCAATTGCAAACACTGAATAAAGAGAGGCAGCCCGGCTCCATTTATAACAGCTATTTCAGCTAGCTCTATTGTGATCATAGCGATCTGAGGGTGACTCATTAATTAATTGATGTTCTTTTTTATTATGTGCTATTGAGTTAATGAGTAATTTGTGTGAGATAATTCTCTGAACACATTGATTACTCGAGATATTTTCTGGGGCTTTCCTCCCAGTGACATGCTGACTAGGTAGAAGATGGTGCTTGTGTCCGTGTGCTCGTTACTAGCAGGGCTGCGATGAGCACAACCCAGTGCAGAGACACGTTCAAGTTACCTGAAGTGAGACGTTCCCCAGATTTGCCCGCTAGGAGGCTGAGGACTCAGGGAAAGGCCCGTCCCACAGTAGGTACTCAATACACATCCATTGAAATCGCAGCTATACGCTACCTTTGCTTTTGATTACCTTATGTTGCATTAAAATCACACTGAAAAATACCTCTAATGAAGATTTTTGTAAAAAGCACTGATCTGAAAGGCTTTTGCTACAATTGTCTTTTGCGCTAATGGCCTATTACAATTAAACACGTGGATTGCTTCTGCAACTGACTGAAGTGAACGCCAAGCATGTCTGGCCTGTACCGTCTCTATGAAATTGTTTAAGTGATGAGTCAGAGAGCGGTTTGTTTGCCTAACGTGATAGTTAAAAGGAAGGCACTTGTGTTTGTGTCGGGCATGTTTTACCACAGATATCATTTTCAGCATCCTGTTCCAGTTAAGGTACAAGCACTCTTCCTTGAAAATCTGGGACTTGGTTGAGTTTTTTGTTTTAATTCATTCTGCAGGAAACAGGAGATTTGAAATTTCGTCTGACAACAGTCACACAGTTGCTTTCAGAAAGATCACTTAAAATTTGTATAAATACACAAAATTACACCTAGCAATTGCTACTTTCATTTTTGACAGTTTTATTTTCCCCATACAAGTAAATAGCAGGAAACTACCTCACTCCGAGATGCTAAACATAATATTTGGAGAAAGCTTTGGAGGTACTTTGTCTATGCTTGTTATGATTTACCTTCAAAAAGCAAACGTTCTTAGAGGCCTTTTTCACGGAGCTAATGTATGCTTTCTGGATATCACCTTAGGTCCTGCCAATTAAGCGTAATCAAATAGTATCATACCCCTTTTATTAAAAACATAAGTCCGAATATAAAAAAAAAGAATGGAAGAATCCAGTAGATATTTATTAAGCAAGATGAAAGTGAAATTACAAACACAGGTCAGCTTTTAAACTCAGTTAGCACTCTGAGTGCAAGGGCCCGGCCCCTCATCATGGGCGGCCGACATGAGATGCATGTTAGTGAGGAAGGGAGCTTTCGCTGCTTGAGAAATCAAAGCTTCATCGAGGTGTCCTCCTGGAGGCATCAGATAACAAGCTAAGTGACATCAGGGCTGCACGACACAAAGAGGAAAGTGGACAACAATTGGGGGCTTTGAGTAGACACGACAATTAGCTTAGTACTTCAGGTCAAAAATGCTCCTGTTTATGGGGGAGAAGCTATGAAATGGCCAGCCACTGAAAAATTATTCCTGTTTTGTTTCATGATTTCGTGGAGATTAAAGATAATCTAAACAGATGAAGGCTTTAATATTTAATCCAGGTGAGTAATTTTGTTGGTAGTAAAAAGCGTGAAGAATTAATTCCCAAAGTATTAAGTGAAAGAAAATACAGTGAAAACCTCCTTTGGCCTTTGGGTGGCAAGGATGGTGAACAGCTGAGAGCAGCTTGTTCCCAATTTACAAGGATTCTGACATATTGGTAAGCATATGCAAAACCGTTTAAATCTTAAAAAGATCATTTGAAAAAGATACTGACAATTAAAATTTTACATCCACATGAATTTCAAACAACTGTTAATGTTAATGGGACTAGCAGGGCTGCATTCCGAGAGACATACCCCCCCTCCCGTTTTCATCCTATCTAATTTTGTTCCTGTTTGGCTATGCAAGTCTTCTCATGAAACAAAGGTAAGGCTCTAAGGCTAAAGCAATACTTATTTTGTGGGCCCCAAATAGCTCTTGTTGAAATTCCTTCTTCACTCTGTCTCAAATTTTGGAGACGTGTGATTTGAACACTCTTAACCATGAAGCATTTGTAAAAATACATACCATTCACTTTTCACAGAACCATTTTCTTAAAAATAAGAGGCAATATCCAGATTCACATGCATGTTCATAATAAAGCTTTGTTTTAAAACAACTAAAATCCACACCAGCATTATTTTCAGCTTAATGTTTTGGCCCAAAACCAAGAACTCAGGTATAGCATTTATTTTCATCTGTAATGCATATATTGGCAGGACAAAATCTGTATGCAAATAACACCGGGACATATTATTTCCTATACAGTGATCAAGGTAAAAAGAAAACCCGCAGCACTGAGTTTGTTGTAGTAAAATATGATTCATTGTGCCTGTGTAGAATGAGATTTGTTGAAAAGTAGTGCAGTTACAGAGAGCAGAAGTCAAAAAGCAAAATGTAAGTAACCTGGGAAAGAGAGATCGTATTCTCATTTTATTCCCTTAATTGTAATTTAAAACATCCTTCTCCATAGTTTCTATTTTGACACCTTTTTTCTTTATCAGCTATCATGTAGGTAAGGAACTATTTCACCTCTGAAAAATGGAATGATAAGGCTGTAGCCTAGTGGTGAATGGAGCCAGATCCCATGCGGCTGACTGCAGTCTTGAATCCCAGCCCTGGTGGCTTGAAAAACACACTGGGCAAGTGTGCACGCAGCCTCAGATCTTGACAGGAAGGAGAAATGGAGGGGAAGGAATTGAGGCATGGTCACACTGCACTGGGGGGTCCCTTCTCCCTCTCCCTCCTTGTCTCTCTCTGTTTCCTCTCTGGCAAGCACACACCCACTCTAGCAATAAAAAAAATTGAAATGACAGATTTGAGCCTAAGTATGTACTCTGAGTTGGTAATTATTTAAAGCAACGAGATAGTCAGATACACAAAACAGTGTTCGCTTTTTGAACATTAAAATAAATGGCAAAAAATATATATAATCACCAGTTCTCATCTTTTTTTATTATTCCCATTGTTTCTCTTCTTCTAGAAGATTCTGTAAGCATTACACTGCTCTGATTACAAGTAACCTCACTACTCAAATACCATCACAGCTGAAATGTGCATTGATTTTTAGCAGATTCACACTCAAATCTTTTCAGTGCCATAAATTTATTAAGCCATAAAGTTATTAAACCCTTAGCTCCTGTGGGGAGATCTGGGCAAAATTTATACAAGAGTTTAATTGATCATTTTAAAATTCTCTCATAATTGCAGTAATACTTTTTAACAGAAACCTTTTGGAAACATTTTACATGATACCCAAAGGCACTAGGTCACGTAAGGGGTGTGGCTGAAAAAAACATACAAAACCATTGTGTATGTAGGAGCACAAAAAAGATATTAAATGATAACTGTCAAGCTTTAAAGTTATTCTAAAAATGGCACTTTTCATGTTGGTATAAAATGAAAGTGCTTTAAGATGAGATTTGTATGCATTTTTTTTAAAGCTGATTTTTAACCCCCTGAAAATAGGGGGTTATAATGAGAACACGGATAGACTCTAAATCATAGTGGCAATAAGTAGGTGGATGTCGCCAGAATGCTTCGTGTGTGTCTTTATTTTTTAGTATTTTTAATGTTGATAGACTTGCTTTATCTACCTGTGTATCATCAGTGAGATTTGCTCTTCAATTCTTTACTAGAAAGTTACAGCTCATTTAAAATAGCTGGTAGATACAGAAAGCATAAATATACAGTAAGTTTCAACACTGATTGTACTAAATGCAACAATACAAAGAAGCAAACAGAACACAAATGGTAACACAATAAAACTGTATTACATTTGTGCTTCGAATATTACAATACATTATATACAATAGTCCAAAATAAACATCTCATGCCAAGTGACACAAAAACGAATAGCAAGCAAAAAAATCCAGCAATATGTACATTACTTTTTTCTTTAATAATAAACATTCAACTCTGAACTGGGGCAATTTCACTACATACAAATGCAGTCCGCCTTTCATTCCATATAACCATCCTGTTTCCCTATATCTAAGCTATTCAGTAGGTTCCTGTGTCAATTCTTATATACACGTGGAGCAAAAAAGATAAAAGAATGTAGTGCTTTTGTATTCTTAATGGGCGATGTTGATAGATCAGCGAACCTGGGGTGCGTAACCTTCTTTCATTAAACCTTCCTCGTAGTCCGTCTGGCAAAGGATCATGTTATTCTTTAGGAAAAATTTGTCTCCCACACAAAATCTGAAAATATTTAAAAAAATAAAATGTGTTAAGACCATGTTACTCAGATCTGTAGATTTGAAGATTAATTTTTCTAATATTCATTTCACATGGTAATTTCCTAAATCTGAAAGCCTGGCTTATGATGTTGCCTTCCTTATCAAAATGTAGCCAGTTACTTCACTGAGTGAAATAGTGCACACAACATTTGACATTCTACCTCTACACATAAAAATTGTAAGAACATCAAGGTAAATACTCTGGAACCCAAAGGTGACGTTCTTTTCTTCTTTCTTTTCTTTCTTTGCTTCTTTTTCTTCCTCTTTTTCTCTTTTAGCCACATAGAAATGAAAAAAAAAAGAACCAATCTATATTTATTCTAATTACAACAAAGAATAATAATATTTCACTTCAGTGACTATGAAAGAATTCATCGTTGTCTCTTTATCTACTTAAAAAATGTAGATGGCATTAAGATGAAGCAAACACTTCAAGAAAAGCCCAGTTTTAAAGCTTCTCATGCAAAGTTTCCTTTGATTCTGTTATTAACATGGGATTAAATTCTGGTAATTCCTAAGTGGTCTTTGGGAAGTGAAAGTTGTTTTAGCATCAGACTAAATGTGGGGCGGTATTCCTTTGTCTACAGCAAGTTCACCAACTATGAGACAGTAGATGTCATTTCTTAGAGCACTTTCAATTAAACCAAAGGGAGTAACCTGAATTAACTTCTTAATATTGATGGGATAAATAAAACTAGTTTCCAACAGCTAATTACACATTTTATTTTATAAAGCATTGTTTAACATGCAACATTGTAATGTTTTTAATAAGTGCTCTTTTTGTATAATTTCCCAATGGTGACACTTTGGACACAATTAAGGTCAGAAATAAATGCCCTGTGCTGTTTCCGGTACATTTAACAATAAAGTAACTCTGGGGAGATCTGTATATATATTTAATTGTAACAATCTAACCTTCAAACAGTGGTGTCTGGTAGAGTTGACCCAGTAAAACTACTTGTAATTATACAAGTTGACCTCACCGACCTTTGATAGTGGTCTCTCTTTATCAGATAGTCAATTTCGAATGACGCTCAAGCAGAAATCTTGGTGGATAGATTAAATTGTGTAGTGAAAGCCACCCTTTAATGTTTTGTGAAGTTGAAGGTTTAAATGAGGAGCAGTTGGACTGATTTACATTTGCAAAGATTGAAATGCTAGACAAACAGTGAACCTATTTATTTTCCAACTGGGTAGCTTTGGAAATTTATCCTTATACTAGCTAAGTAGATAGAGGGGAAAATAGTGTAATAAAAAAAGTAGATTGAAAAGAATTAGCTTTCCTCTTAAAGGAAAATTGGTCTGTTTATTTGTGGAATTTACTTTTTTTTTCCCGAGGATTACTGCCTGCTGATGATGTTGATTGAAAGTACAGACTACGCAGTGATCTTGAAATCCTGGAGCTGTTTGTGATCCAGGCTACCGGAGATGATGAACGTTCAAGTTTTGAGTTTTAAGTATATGTTCCTTATATCACTTGCAAGCTTTCCACTTTAAATGTTATACTTAAAAAGTGCTGTTGGAGTAAATCAGTTTCTGTAGATTATCCTGATCACTATGATATGTTGAATAAACGGAAATATTACTCTTGTTGAACAGGCCTAAGTAGCCAAATTAGATGCTTATCTTTCGTGTGAGACTATATAAAACAGCATGTGGAATAAATCTAATTACCGTTCGATATTATCAATTTGTGGAACTGCTGAAATTAATTTCAACTGACCAATAAGCTAATAATAAAATATCACATCTAAAATAGATTCAATGAAACACTCTTGTGTTCTAGCTACTGAATGTTACCAAATCATTTTTTCTTAAAACCAATGAATCTGGAAACACTATCTTTCAACTCCACATTATCTAAAATATTTTGCCTTAATGTTTTATCGGTCTCCTAAATTCCATTAGCCATCAGATAAAAACATCATGTCATGCCACATCATTCTTATCTTCAGAGGCCTTGAAATTTAGAAACTTTCATGTGTGGATTAATACATTCTAGGTAGTTGTAGTGAGAGAAGTGTCAGAAATGAAGACCCTGAGGAATCTAAGCCCTGAGACCTATCACCCACCCCACCGAAGCTGTGGGGTACTTGTCATACTTTCCTTGTCTCAGTTCCCTGTGTGAAAGAGAAAACAGTGGCCTCAGTGGATCGTAGGGAGGTTCCAAGGAGAGGTGTTCAGAAAGCAGTGAGGTGTATTGCAATGAACAGGGTTCAAATCCTAGCCAACCACTTACAATAATAGAAAATAAAACTTCCATTTTTTTGGTATCTGTCATATCAGGCACTTTTGTAAACATGTGGTAAAAAGCAGCAATAAAATACATATAGTCTTACCTCCTTGTTTAAAATGTCGGTAAACTAGTCACCTTTAATAAAGTACTTCCTACGTGCTGAGGCTCACCATGTATATGCATGGCCATATTTATTCCGTATATCCAACTGCTGAGGCTCACCATGTATATGCATGGCCATTTTTTTTCCTTATATCCAAACTGAAACGTAGGTTTTTCCACTGCCTTTTTCAGAAGGGAAACCTAAGGCGTCCTCCCAGAACTAAAACAATCCATAGGTAGAATAGATGTGGTAGAGGAAAGAAAAGAACCCAAGTCTCTTTGGATTCAAGACCCACGCTTTTACCTGGGGCCAGTAAAAACATGTAAGCTAGAAGGACAGTTGAAAGAATCCAATAGTGATGCTGGGTTTTTGATATTACTATTTTCCATTTGCATCTCTAAAAAGGACTGCCTACCAATGTGATATCTCATAGGCAGGATATTTGTCTAAAATTGTCCTACCAGAAATACTTTGTTACTAATACATCGTCAACTGGGTAAAGCACATTTTATGTGCCTTTTGGTTTATACTTCAAGATCAAGAGAAACAGACATGAGTGAGGGATGCTGTACTTCTACATATAACTCAGACAAAAAATAAACTCTGTTTAAGAGCAGAGTATGGTTAGTATACAATTAAGATGGATATTCTCCCTAACATTTTTCCTATATAAACATAACCAAATTATGGAAAGAGCAATACAGACATTAAATATTTAACAAAATAATCTGTAACTGTGATACTTGTAAAAAAGCTGATTTCCAATGTTCAATACCCAGGTCTTCTATCAGATAAAAACAAACAAACAAACAAAAACACAACTTAGAAAAGCAACGATGGCCAGAGAACATTGGTCAGTTTTGCCCTGATTTAAAATGAATGTTAGGGGGGACCAGCAGTTAGCGTAATGGTTACGTTGCTGGACTCCCATGTAGTTGACCGCAGTTTGCGTCCTGGACGGGGTGGCTTAAAACTCACGCCAGGCACGTGTGCGTGCGTGCCCAAGATCCCGAGAGGAGAATGGAGGAGAAAGGATTGTGGTGTGGCCATCCGTCCAGGGTGTGATTTCTCACTTTCTATCTTTCTGTCTCTCTCTCTCTCTGTCTGTCTGGCGAGCGCACATGCCCTATAGCAAAAGCCTCTTAAAAAAATAAATAAATAAAAGAATGTTAGGGAATAGAAAGATGCCCGATTAGACTATTAAATCATCTAATTTTGATATCTGGGAATTAATAATAGATATACATTTTCGATACTTCAGAATGATTCTAGCTGACTTCACACAGTTTTAGATTTTACACGTACGGGCAATAAGTTTAATAAATCATCTTTATAAAATACGAGGCTTAGAGTAGCTTGGAGGAGGTTAGCAAATGCCTATGCGGAGAGGACTCCTTTTGTAACATGCTTTTTTAAGAAACAAAAATGTTACCTTAAGTCATCCCAGCTCCCTAAGGTTAGTGACCGCCAATTACAATGAATTTTCCTTTCTTTTTATCCTCAGACAGGGCCTCACTATGTTATGATTGGACTGTTTCAGCTCCCAAGAAGCTGGGAGTATGGGCACACACAACTACAATTTATTTCTATTCTGGCAATACTTCCAAAACAAGGAGGATCCTCTGTGTATGTGCAAGGTTTCCACTTTCCTATTCAGCATCTTCAGTTACTATAATTCAGAGATTTCTCTATTATGCTGTTTCCAGTAAGAAGTGCAGGTTGTACACTTGTTCTGCACTATACACTTGTGAACAAATTTATGGTGTTTTTCCCAATGACAGCCCAGATGCCATTATACACACCTCACCCCTAGTAATCCTTTCTGTACCAAGTTATACTACATATACCACGGACCCTGCTGGGAAGAATTCAAAGTTTACCTTCTTTAACTCCATTGTATCTATTTGCCTCTTAATCTGAAAATAAAAAATACCCCTACAAACCTGGGTCCAGAGAGTGAAACCAAATTCTCTGAGTTTAAATTTTGAATCTACCATTTTCCAACTGTGTAGAGTTTGGGGTAAGGGACTTACATTTCCTGAACTACAGTTTCCTCATTTGTAAAATGAGGCTAATAATAGTACCTACTTAAGAGTTGAGAATGAAATGAGTTTGCACATGTAAAACCCTTAGAACAGTCTGGTGTATGGTAGGCACTACTTAAGAATTTGTTAGGGGCAAATTTTGAATCTACCATTTTCCAACTGTGTAGAGTTTGGGGTAAGGGACTTACATTTCCTGAACTACAGTTTCCTCATTTGTAAAATGAGGCTAATAATAGTACCTACTTAAGAGTTGAGAATGAAATGAGTTTGCACATGTAAAACCCTTAGAACAGTCTGGTGTATGGTAGGCACTACTTAAGAATTTGTTTGGGGCCAGCAGGTAGGTGGTGTAATGGTTAAGACACTGGACTCCCACATGGCTGACTGTAGTTTGAGTCCTGGACCTGAAGGTTTGAAAATCATGCCAGGCACGTGTGCATGTGCCAAAAATCCCAGAAGAAGAATGGAGGAGAAGAGATTGTGGTTATCCTTGCCTGGAGAGTAATTTCTCACTTTCCCTCTCATTGTCTCTGGCAAACACAAGAGTCCTATGTCAAAAACCTTAAAAACAAACAAAC